CTTCTTAAATGTGTTTTTCCGATGGTCTTAGGTGACTCCTTAGTGAGGGTCGTTCGACCCACAGGTTGAAAACCGCTGCCCTAGAGATTATGAAATTTCAGAAAGTTTCTCATTATTTTCAAAATGATTCCCCAATAGGTGTCTTGAATTCCCGAGATATAGGGAAATTTCCCCATGTCTGGTATCGTTTTAAGAATTGAGGGTCAATGTAACTCTCTTAACGCTGGAGTCCGATATTTATTATTATTTTTTTTGTTTTTTCAATTTTATTTGAGCGATTTTGGACTCTAAAAATGTGTTTCCTCTAAAAATATTTAAAAAAAAAAACTGAATTTTCATGAAAAGTACATTTTCTGCTACAAGAGGTAATCAAATGTCTAAAAGAGTGCGTGTCAAACGTTGTAAATTCTTAGCACACCTACGGTTTCTAATAGTGCCATTAAAATTTCGCAATTTTCACGAATTTATTTTAATATGATTATTTGAAATACATAAAATAAATTTCACGTTAGTTTAGGAATTGGGCAGCTTTTTTCAATTTGTACCTATAAACATACCAGCGGGTTAGAAGCTCCCCAATTACCCATTGTATTCAAAGGATATCTATTACTACACATAAGAGGCAATCAATCCATATGATAAATCATGTCAAGCAATTTACACATTTATCCACAACGTCACTAAAAAGTAAAAGTGCCTCTCATACATATTACTATTACTCCACAAGCCTCTACCAGCCCCTCCCCCAAATAATATAAATATATACATACATATATAACAACCAACTTTAGCTTAGTGCTTTGGTTCAAGTTCAACATTGTAGGCTTTATATGTAAATTAATGACCAGTCGGTTTTCAGCATGTCATCGTGTTCCCGTTTCCCATTGATAATCATTAGTTCCATGACGTGAACCTGTTGTTTTGACTCTTTACAAACTGTGTACTACAATAAATAATAATAATAATAATAAAGTTCATTTCAAAAACACGCTTCATCCCCAAAGGCTCGAAGCGCGGTACAAAGTCAACAAAAAACAAATCTATAGTTTACCACATGCCTTGTGGAGCCACTCCTTTTGGCAGTGCACATGATTGCAGCAAGGGCACAGTGCCTCAAAAAAATTGTTGTTCAAACAAATTATGGTTGATAAGAACCAAAAAGACAAAGTTTTTCGTAAAAAACAATTATATAAATTATATGTATTTTTTAATTACTTTGTTGTATATTAATATTCTAATGTCCCACCTCAGATTTATTTCACCATTGCAGAAAAAACAAAAGAAAATATTACACGCAAAACGCACTTGTGATTTTTTGTACAAACGAGCCCAGGTATGGGAAATTTTATTTCGTGAAATCAGATTTCCTTCATCTTCCCCTACAAAAACTGAATTTTAAGGGTTGAAAATTTAAAGAATGTGTTGTCATCAGCAACAAGTCTATGTGCTTAGTTTCAGCTCAACAGGAAGTGGGTCAATTAGCAGTCCGAAGATTTTGCCACCAAGCCTTAAAGAAACATGAAAAAAGCTAATTTAATATCAAGGATTTAAAAATTACCGCACTGGTAATTCAGTCTTTTTCTATTGTTCCGCTTTTCATTTGATGTCACTGGTTAACCACCACCTTGTCATTAAATGTAACCCCCCTCCCCACTAGGTGTCTGACATCATTTATGCAAGGTCCCTTAACATTATGATAATGTGACTTATTATGTAGTATGAAGGTGATTCTTTAGGACAGCGTTAGAGAGTGAGCAGTGGGGTTTTGTCTGGTACTAGGTACAGTTATTTGGATATCAAATTGTGGACCGTTTGACATAAAATTAAAAACATAGAGGTGGGTCACAATTTTCTTATTGTGAGAAAGAGAGGTGAGAGATATGTATACCCTAGCCCAAATGCATCCCTTGGCCAAGACATTTCCCCTCGCCTAAGATGCCAAAGAAACAGAAGAGTGATTGCAGAAGTAAAAAAATACCCCCAAAGACCCTAAGGGTTGACCAACTACAGACTGAGAAACACTGGTATAAATCCCTGAATGAAAATGATCTTAAGATAAAAGGATGCACACTTGCTATACAATTGACTCATAACATTTATTTAATGTACAAACTATCTGAATATATATTTTATTTATAACTGTCATTATAAATAAGAAATTAAAACATGGCAACATTTACAGTAACAATAGATACTGAGCCTCTTGGGCCAATTCTTTGAAATTTATACTTATACTCGATACTCTGCAAGCATTATTTTGTAAGCCAAAGAATAATAACAGTGCAGAAGTAACAGATAAATTCATTTATGGCTTTCAAATACAAAATAATCTAATTTTCTAGGGATAAAGTAACATCAACCAAAAATATTCTCAAGCTGGAAAAAAAGAATTAAATTTTGTGTTCATATTTTTAGTAAGACTTCATTCTCAAAATACAAAGTGGGATGCATTATGACAGTTTACTTTTAAATAATAAATTGTGTTTCATTTTTTCAACATTTTTCACTAATCTCAAACACCAAAAAACATTGAAATGGAAAAGACAATCTATAAACAAATAAAAATAATCACATTTGTGCCAAAAAAAATATTTAAAAAACCACTGCTAAACATTGCTTCAACACTTTTTAAAACAATAACAAGCTGTGTAGTAATCAATCAACTTTAAGAATAAAGTACCGTAATTGAAAATCATACTTTTTGTGTGGCCAATTTTCACCATGTAACTCATAAAAAAAACAAAAAAAACATAACTCTAAGGTAGTGTGCTAAAAATATTGGATGATAAAAATGAAATCTAGTCGGTTAAAACTTGGTAAAAGGACAGTTAAATTTCGTTGGTTGTAACTCTCTAAATGATTATGTCTTATTTAATTTGAAATATGTTTTTTTGTTCTTCTAATCTCTTAAGAACTATGGCGCCCCCTGTCCTGTAAAAATATATTTTAAAACTGCAGATTAGGGAAGAACATTGTCACCTGATCTTACCAAATGATTTAAAAGTTTATTTTAAAGTTTTTAAATGTTAGTGTCTCCTGTTTCAAGGAAGTATGCATTTAGAAAGTTATAACCAAAATCAACAGCATTTACAGACCTGTTTACCCCTACGCTTTCGCAACTAGCTTTGTATGCCTAAGACAACAACCCTAAAGTGCCTAAACAAAACTATGGTTTCAAGAGTCTTTTCCTTGGTTTTTAAAAAAAACAAAACATAAAAATCGTGATGTTTTCAGTAAAAAGTTACAGCATTTGTTTGTGTTAATATGGTAAGCAATTGAATAAGAACAACAGTGATTGGCCAGTGGTCTTGATCTAAATGAGCCAACCAGAATTTTTTTCTTTTAGAGGGTGCGCTGATTATTAAAACTTAAATCTCATTGTGTTGTATATTTTTAGCCCTACTGTTCCTTTTGACCTCCATGCAGTCATGGTTTCCCCTTGATTGCATGTGCGCTTTAAGTTCCATGTTTTTGTATTAAAAAAAAAAAACACATGAAATTTCATACCGTTTCAGTGCCTGTTGTGCCTGTGAAGTTTTCTTCTTTGTCCAGTTCAGCTTTCAACAAGTTTAGGGGTAAGAAGAGCTCATCCATCTAGTATGTACGCACTGAAGGGGNGGGGGGGGGGGGGGGGGGGGGGGGGGGAAAGAGATGGGTGTTGGTAGAAAGTACGTACATTTATTAAAAAATTCTACAATAATCATCATGACTTTTGGAAAGTCCAAAAATAGCATATTTATGTCTTGAATGTTGTAAAAATGCAAAGTTTTGTAGAAATTATCATCATAATGTTGCCTTGTTTCCATAAATGAACCTGCTAGTATCCAGATGTCGCTTAAATAGTACTCAGTAATAGCAGTATTACAGTAATATTTTATCCACCGTATCTTCAACATGTGCATGTGACATATCCCCCTTCCCCAACTATGCCACTGAGCCAGTGGTTCCTAAATTTTTTTTATTCCCGGTGCCCATAAGCAGCACCAGTACAATAGTCTATGTGGTCTAGTGTTCATAAATAATGCCCAACAGCACCTTTAAAGACTGATGATGATTGGGAGAGCAACAAGTTAAACAAGTCAATCACTGCTACACTCTTCTAGATTTATTGATATCAAGCATATTTACAGGCCAGTCCTCATGTGCCATCTGGAGACAAAAATGTTTAAAAATGACTATCCTCTTTATCACCCACCTCAGGTGTCCACTTCTGGAACGTCTCATTGAAGCTCCCAATGTATGTGTCCAAATATTAAACCAGTATGAGAGAGCTTTTATAGACACTAAAGTGAGTTTAACTGTACGGTTCATTTCCTTGGCAAGGAGAAGACGTTGACTCCATACATGAAAAGATGTTTTCTACTTGTGGTAACTAAATACATGTTCAAGAATCCCACAGCGACCAGACACATTGTGAAACATTTTCAGGACTTTGAAAAGCAAGTGAAAAAAATCGTAAGTTAATGAAAAATTTGGCCAATTTAATAGGTAATTTAATAAACATCTTCTAGGTGTCTACACCTTTATTGGTTAATTTTGTTCTTGTGATTCCACATCCTTTTTTAATTGGACAAATTCATTGCTTGTTTTCATATGGCCACAAAAATGGTTCTGTTACAATAGTCATGAAATTTAGATCAGATCTGCCTATCAGTCAAGCAAGTCTGTACAGTCAGTGCCTGTTGTGCTTGCCTAAGAGACATTTTCTCATCCTTAAGAATCAAACTGGGGGACTATATCCTACATATTTATTGGGTGGGGTGGGGCTCGTTGGTTTACAATCAAAATACAAGTTATGTCAGGAACTCCACTCAACTGCTTACATAAATTAACACAAATAACTACATGTGGAGCTTGAAACTACATTTTTGAGAGCTGTAAACTACTCTGACACTAACCCAGGTGTAAACAGGTCTGCAATTATATTTTGTTTCATGTCAAGCAGAGCTTCAAATAAATTAGAAAAATAAATATGGACTTGCGCTATTAACTAGGTTTAGTTAAGAACTCCAAGTAAATCCTTTCTGAAGTATATTCAATTCTTTGATAGCCGTGCCATTCTCAAGGACAGCTGGGAGTGCAAGTCTCTCATTCAAATCTCCAATTAAACCAGGGTTTGCCTGAGAAATATCCACAAATAGTTTGTTTAGCCCACTGGCCAGCTTGTCCTTGTCTTCTTGGTTGACCGTTTGTGAGTTGAGGGCAGCACTGGGATGGTGTGTACTGTAGGAGATTGTGGATCGACTCACTTCTGGACTGGACTGTAAGACAGAGGCTATGTTCAGTGTATGATGAGGTAAAAGTGGACCAGTCACTTCAAAAACATGGGATGTTTGACTCTGAATATCTCCATGATTGAATTCATCTCTTATGATAGAGTGCTTCATCTGTAATGAAATGTTGACATAAAGTTGTAATGTATTTTTTACCATCGAAAGTATTTATGCTACAGATACACATCAAGTTGGTCTCAAAGTCTTTCATTCATACAGACTAGTGGAGCTGGTCCTCCAATACTAGCGATATCATTCATGTCAAAGTCTTTCATACAGACTAGTGGAGCTGGTCCTCCAATACTAGCCATATCATTCATGTTAAAGTCTTTCATACAGACTAGTGGAGCTGGTCCTCCAATACTAGCGATATCATTCATGTCAAAGTCTTTCATACAGACTAGTGGAGCTGGTCCTCCAATACTAGCAATATCATTCATGTTAAAGTCTTTCATACAGACTAGTGGAGCTGGTCCTCCAATACTAGCGATATAATTCATGTTAAAGTCTTTCATACAGACTAGTGGAGCTGGTCCTCCAGTACTAGCGATATCATTCATGTCAAAGTCTTTCATACAGACTAGTGGAGCTGGTCCTCCAATACTAGCGATATCATTCATGTCAAAGTCTTTCGTACAGACTAGTGGAGCTGGTCCTCCAATACTAGCGATATCATTCATGTCAAAGTCTTTCATACAGACTAGTGGAGCTGGTCCTCCAATACTAGCGATATCATTCATGTCAAAGTCTTTCCTACAGATTAGTGGAGCTAGTCCTCCAATACTAGCAATATCATTCATGTTAAAGTCTTTCCTACAGATTAGTGGAGCTGGTCCTCCAATACTAGCGATATCATTCATGTTAAAGTCTTTCATACAGACTAGTGGAGCTGGTCCTCCAATACTAGCAATATCATTCATGTTAAAGTCTTTCATACAGACTAGTGGAGCTGGTCCTCCAATACTAGCGATATCATTCATGTCAAAGTCTTTCATACAGACTAGTGGAGCTGGTCCTCCAATACTAGCGATATCATTCATGTCAAAGTCTTTCATACAGACTAGTGGAACTAGTCCTCCAATACTAGCGATATCATTCATGTTAAAGTCTTTCATACAGACTAGTGGAGCTGGTCCTCCAATACTAGCAATATCATTCATGTCAAAGTCTTTCATACAGACTAGTGGAGCTGGTCCTCCAATACTAGCGATATCATTCATGTCAAAGTCTTTCATACAGACTAGTGGAGCTAGTCCTCCAATACTAGCAATATCATTCATGTTAAAGTCTTTCATACAGACTAGTGGAGCTGGTCCTCCAATACTAGCGATATCATTCATGTCAAAGTCTTTCCTACAGACTAGTGGAGCTGGTCCTCCAATACTAGCGATATCATTCATGTCAAAGTCTTTCATACAGACTAGTGGAGCTGGTCCTCCAATACTAGCGATATCATTCATGTCAAAGTCTTTCATACAGACTAGTGGAGCTGGTCCTCCAGTACTAGCGATGTCATTCATGAAAATCCAGATCTGCGATAACAGTTCCAAAATCTGCAATCCCTAGACTAAAGGATAAAGTTAAGAGTAATACATACAGTATTAGTTACTAAAGTACCGCCAACAAAAGGTACAGGTGACAGAATTGTAGGAGGGATTCCATGTTGAGGACCACTGCTCGCAATGCAAGAGGAATAGTTGAGGAGAAGGTTGAAGAATGGATGAACATCAACACCTTCAACATAAATCATGGACTGAGGCCTGTTGTCAATCTCTCGGTAACCTTCCCTCTGTCTGTTTTAGTTAAGGAATACTATGTACAATAATACTAAATGTTTAAAGATATGTTTTTTCTTGACCAATTTAAAAAATTTATTGCAAAGGTAAAATTTTGTAAAAAAAATAAAATATAAACAAATATTGAAATTGATCTTATCTAAAGATCAAAGCTGGATCATCCGAAAATGTGACAAAAATAGAGCAATGGGGACATATTTAGTTTATCATTGTTACCAGCTGATTAAAAAAAATACACAAAGAAATTCCCAAACTATATAAATATAATGTGTTTTATCTCAGCTAAAGGTGACCACTCTGACTTTTAATCAAGGATACAGTTTCACTTTGAAGGGTTGTAAAGATGGGAAATCTTTTTTGTCAAATCCCATTCCTTGAAGCCATTTGGATGCACCATCATGGTCGTCTATGTCATCATCACTTTCATCACCATTATTTACCTCTATATTTTCCTCGGTTTTGTCCTTAAAAGATATTTCTTCAGGTGTTTTACTGAAAAATTTGATAAGAAAAGTAAATACAATTCTCAAAGACTTTGAACATTAAAAGTTACAATAGGAGCTGCCTTTTTTTTATTTTAATGGTTGTTTTTTCTCTTTTTTTTGAGTAACCAAATAAAGTGTCATTTGTGTTGAGACTTGGTTAATGACATAGTTAAAAGTTTCCAGTTCTGCACCAAACTCACTCCTTTCCCTGATCCTGCTGAACATCATCAATGCATGCGTCTCCTGTTGTTGCTTTGGTTCGGTTAACTTGGGTGCACAGTGTCGGTGAAACATTTTCCCCCTCATGACCCCAATGGTCTTTATTCCCTTTGTTAAATTTCTTTGAAGGTTCAGTTTTTATCATTCTTATATGTGGCATTCTGAAGTCAATGCCTGTGAAAGTAAAAAGTTTATTCCATGGAGAGTTGCATTCTAAAATATTTTTTTTTTTAAAACTCTGTAATTTTGTATTAGTCCTCTGTGTTAACAAAAAGATATAAACTTAATCTGTAAATAATTTTTTTCTGAATATGACTGCATAGCAGCGAAGTTCGGATAAAAATGTAACTAATAAATATACCTTCTTTGGTAATCATTTCTCTAAAACCTCGTGTTGACGGAGACAACAATGCTGACATTGATGCACCAACAGAAGTTCGCTGACATCTAAACAGCACAGTAAATTGGTGTGTGCATATGTAGAAGTATGGACACAAGCCCCCACGGAGTTGTTGATAAACTGATGTGAATGCATTCATCCTTCATAAAAAATAAAACACATATCTTAGATCACATGGTTTCATTAACTGGTCATTGACAGTTGAATGACGTGCTTGTAAAGGAGAGCACCTGACTATTTGACTATACCAACTTTGATACAAGTTTCAAGTCAAAAACTATCCAAATCCACAAATAATAATAGATAACAAAATCCACAATTGATAATAGATACCCAAATCCACAATTAATAGATACAGTGAAGAAAAAGCATCTATTTAGCTTTACTGTTTTATTATAAGCATTAATTTTGGTTACACAGAAAACAAACGTTTCGGTAAATGCCTCCTGTCACAGGATGACCATGGCCGTTACGTCATGGTCAAAATACACTCAACAGATATACAGGATCGTTGGAAACTGCGAGGCGTCACAGGTAGAAGTTTGTGAGGCAACGCTTGAGTATATAAAGGAACACGAAGTTTGGTTACTTTACTGACACCAACTGTAGTCCTCACATGGAACTTCTTTCCCGTGTGTGTTGCCTTAGACCTAGCTTGTACCAGTCCTTGCCACAGAAATCAACATAGAGGTAAATGTGTATATGGTGTTCAAATGTGCAGCTGTATGGTAGTTTGGGTGACTGATAGATATGTTAAATAGACATTTAGGGATATCTATTTAGGGCTCTGCATGTATCACATAGTAGTATAGGTGATTTCCTCTATATGTTTCAGGAACAGTCGACCTTTATTTTATAATGGTAAATCAATGCACCCATGTGGCAGGGTCGGCAGTGAACGGATGCCAACACTTTGAGACCATGAGAAGTGAGAAAGAGCCAGGGATTATTACTAATGATAGGATAGACCCTTAATTAGAATAGAAGCGACAGTCATCCAAGACTCTGCTGTAATGAGGCATAGCATCTTGCCTGAATTATAATTTAGAATTGTTATATTGTATCTTCCCTTGTGTGTTGTCATATATCTTAATAACTTTTATATCACATTACCTAATATATTTAAGTATTAAATTAGCTGTCCTTATTGGAGTTAACTAGAGGCTTTGTCTTGTTTATTATATTATTGTTGTGTTTTCTTGGGCATATTAAAAAAGGTAGTGTCAGATGTGTTGTAGAAATTAGAGCAAGATTCACCGAGCATAAGGGAGCTTGTGATCCTTTCATCAGTGTAACAAAAACATTCATTTGTTGAGCTTTCTTACTGGACTACATACTGTTCTGACTGACCAAGTTGAACATATGAAGTGTCCAATTATCAACTGACCTAAGGTAATGTTTTAACACCGCCGTCATTTTCACACAGCTGATAACAACTGGGCAAGTTATTGTAGCCCCACAAGACAACATACAATTTTATTAACTTACAAAACAGGAGTATGCACAGTTTATTTAAATATTTACTTTCGTTGCAATGTACACCTGGGCTTGACAGCACTACACTTTGAAAACTTGCCTGACGAAGACATGAGACAGGCAATGGAGATTCCATAAACCTGACATTTACAGAGATAATTGCAAAACTAATGAAAGATGGTGGCTTACCAATCTTTGTGAAGAGCAGCTATAACATCTTCATGTATTGCAAACAGGGAGCTTGATCTGGGGAAAGTTTTATTTTAAAATTAATATTGCATTCATTTTATCGCCAACTAATATCCTGATGAACTCACTGTAAAAAAAAAAAGTTAGCAATTTCATCTTTGTATTTTTAAAATATTATAATTATAAAGTCCATGGGTCTTTATCTTTAAAAAAAACAACCCAATAGGATAAGTTGAAATGAAAATTTAAGTTTGTATTGGTTTAGCAACACAGTTGATGGGATTACTTTCAATTTCAACTTGTTACTTATGTAAGCTATAACTAATCACATTCAAAGTAGCAAAATATTGTGAGTTGAACAAACATGAATCCAACCTAGATTTAAAGTCAGAAGATGATCTTGGAAAGGTTGACATCCATGGCATCTGAGGGTAGCTGTAGTGCATGCAACAACGTTTTATCTTCTGGTATACATCAAGCTCTTTCCAACCCGAATCATTCTGATCAAGAGAAAACAAAAGTAGCTCTTATTAGCTTTGAGATCAACTTAAGCAAATTTCAGAAGGTAACATTTTTTATGAGACACATTTATTATTCTACTTACCTACGCTGTATTAATTTGAGATGAGAAGAAAAAAAAAAAAATGTTTAATTCATCTTTAAAATATTTGATGAAAAAAATATTTGAAATAAAATTTTCCAAAGAAAATCAAATACGGTAATAAATGTGACTGATTTCATGATTAATAAAATAAATTTTGGAATTTTTTTTTCAAACCATATGGTAAATATTTACATACGTAAATTACAAGAACTACTCTTATGAATGTTAAGTAGTATTCAGCAAAAAAAATTAATTGCAAAATTTACATTTATGTATTTAAATCTGTAACTATCATTATTTAAAATTATTTCCATGACCTCAACATGACTATAACTAGATATGTTGTTCTTACATCTAGCCTATGATGAACGAAGCTATCCACATGTTTGGCATCTATGCCAGGAACCTTTGAGAATGACTCCAGGTTACTGTGGGCTACGATTCGGAGTTTAGTTTTGAGACTCCAGTCAACAGGTGGATGAGGATGTATCTAGTTTTATGAATAAACAAAAAATATCTCAGTAATTGTGTCCAAGTTTAATAATTATAGGTTTCTAAACAATAAACTCAAATCTAGAGAAAGTTATAAAGATAGAATTTAAAGCAATAAATTACATTTTTTAATTAATAAAAACGCAAAGTCTATGACACTGCTTTGTCCAAAGTTGCAAGCTATCACAATATTGCTTCACTATATATATAACATACTTTCAAAGTTAGTTTCCTAAATCTTTTATTTTAAAAAGCCTACAAAATACAACAAAGCTCAGTCAGGTCCCCCCCCCCAACCCTTTTGTTGTTGTTGATAACACCCATTTTTTTAAATGCGAGAAAATGTAGCTTAGAATTAATATTTTTTATACCAAACCTGTTTGGCTTCTGAATATTTGTCTTCGACTATTGTGTTATTTGTTGAGGCCATCCTTTCCTTTAACACATTAGATGGAATTGGTGAGGTCTTCTGTTGTATTTTATTAATAGGTAATTGCGTCTGAAAACTTTCTGCACTTTCAGCAGAGATATTATCTACCTGCAGCTGAGGAAATTATAATACTTTATCAATTTTTTCTTTTTTTAAATGGATTTTATTACAGACCTTATAGCAGACCTGTTTACTCTTACGATTTTGGCGTACAATGTATGATATTGAGGTGTATACATTATATATACAGTATGTTTATTTTTAAATATTAAGATAACGTACTGAATGATTTTGTGAAGATATTTTATTCCCAAATTTAGCACTATAACAGACCTGTTTACACTCAAACTCTTAAAATCGTACAATATCTTCACAAAATCATTCAGTACGTTATCTTAATATTTAAAAATTACTGAATGATTTTGTGAAGATATTGTACGATTTTAAGAGTTTGAGTGTAAACAGGTCTGTTATAGTGCTAAATTTGGGAATTAAATAAAACCAATGTCTCATAAAAGAATCTTTCTATAGGATTTAACTTCACATAGAGTCACAAAGTAACTAAAACGTATTAATTAATGAATTATCAAAATTTCCAGTTAAAATGCATCTGTTGAAAATAAATGTACAGATATATTTTCAATTTTCCACAAAAATATTTAACCATAAAGTTTGAGTTTGGTTAAGACAACCGTTAGATATTCTCTTTTAAATATATGGTCTCACCTTTAAGTGGTTATTAATTAACCAGTAAACTATATATTCTTTGAAAATAAATGGTCTGACCTCTAAAGTAGTAATTAATAAGTCAGTCTTAATTTTAACGAAGAAAAGCTTAGGATTTAATTTTTGTGTAAACACAAGTCACAAAAGACCTGATCACAAAATTTCTTAGTACATGTTATCATAGACAATAGTAGTTTAGATGAGCTACTAAAAACATTTTAAAAGACAAGATATAACATTAGATTAGATACTATGTTCTATTGAGCCAAAGAATTGTTTTTTCTCTTCAAATCAATGCAATCGTGCATATACTACACCAGCGCTTTCTCCTGGGGTCAAAAGACAGTTTTGGAATCTGTGAAAGGTGTAAGCGAGTTGCATTACCTTTATACTTTTATATTATATGCATTTAAAAGGTTTATTATAAAAAGTCATCTGACAGGCAAACAGGTCAGTGGAACAGAAAAGGTTAAGAACCTCTGAATTATTCTAAAGATTTGATGTTCATATTCCAGATGAAGACGAAAACAGCTTTTTTTTATCAAGGATTCATAGTTAAACAGTTAATATATGCTGCTATTTTTTATTTTTTTCCCTTTCCATCATTATTTTTTTCATTTGCCATGTCTGCTGAGGAAGGCTCTTAGCCAAAACATTATTTTTTAAATTGTCCTGTGTCTATATTTCAAGCTTCCACATATCTTGTTCCACTATTTTCTTTAGAAGCCATACTTAAGCAATACCTTTCTGGTTTTAAGAGATACAAATATGCAAATAGGAAAGAAATGAAACAAGAAAAGAGTTTAACTAATTCATACCATTTCCTCAGCAATTGTGAGCACATGAAAAAGTTTGTTAGTTTGAACCTTCTCTTCATGTCCATCCGAAATTTCTGTATTAAAGAATGCAGTATCTCCAGAAGAGTTCATAATATCTTTTTCCATATCAGGGGCATCAGGAGAAGTTAAATTTGTGTCCAGGATGGATCTTCTTTTGCTGCCGGGTGCCATTGCGTCACAACTAAATGGATTAATTCGCTTCAATGCTAATTGTTCCTTGTGCTGGGAGCTAATAGCGCAATCACTTTTGGAGGAAAAAAGTGAAAACCTTTGTGTGTTCTCATTATTTGAAGTTATAGATGTCAGTGACTTTCTTCGAGTAATTATGTTAGATGCTGAGTGAGAACGAGTTAGTCCAGAGGAGCTTTGTCGCTTAATACGATGAATTCTCATAACATCATTGGGATTTTTCCACTCCTTTTTGTTGGGTGAAGACATTATTAGTCCCTTTATAACTATTGGAACTTAATAATAAATAATAAATTAACAGCTTTGCAGCCACTGCAATAGTTTGACTTGAAAGATGCTATAGTACTTCACAACTGATAGAAAAAATTCCTAGGTTGTTAAGAATGCACCTGTTGCAAAAAAAAACACACAAAAAAACATTAAATTAGAGATTCTGCACACCCTATAAATTGTTTGTCTACTATCTAAGTCTTGCACCCCTTAAAAAGTAATAATGCAATTTATAATAGCAAAAAAAATGAATTTAAATTTGTAAAAAATAATTAATTACAAAAAGATGTATGAAAATAAACTTAAAAACAAAGCATAGAAATCAATTATTTAACAACAAACAGTATCCAAATTTAACTGATTAAAAATAAATAACCAACAATTTTCATGTCATTTTTTAATAATTATTTCAATATGAAACATCATCTCTACTAAATTTGAAGTAATTGAACAATTTTTGAAGGCCGGCACTATGTACACCACAACGGTGTGCCTAGCAAAATCATGGACTTTGGGACTACACATACAGCCGCAGTGTACCTAGTAAAACCATTGGCTTTCACCTGTTTACACTGAAGTGGTACATGCAGCAAAACCAAGGTCTTTGCCAGTCTTTAACTCTTTGGCCCGACTGAAACTTGTAAAATTATAATTTCTTTTTATTTTCAAAATACATATGTTTTCTTCTTTCATTTTATTGAGCATGATAATCATGCTGGCTAAACCTGGGAATAGCACACCACTGCGAATAGCACCACTTTTGCTTTGGTCCCAAGAGTTTATGCTATTCATTGGTGTCACTGTAAAATGTTTTTTGAAATCCCACGTATGGCTTATCTTAATGCAGTTGAACAGCTAATGATTATAAGATTTTAAAGTAAGTAAAAGGACAGCACATCTTGTTCAAATTAAAAAATGTCAATATTGGCACATAACGTATATTTAATTGCTACAAAAGCTTAAAAAATAATACATTAAAAATATTACTACTGTTACAATTGAACAAATACGTAGACTTAAGAGTAAAATACATTTTTAATTAAGATAGTTTAGGCCTATTACAACTTGATTAGCTCTAAGGAATTGTTCCCTAAATATGATAGCGTCTAGTATTTACTATACCACAAGACCACTCAAGATCATATCTAACAGCTATATCTCAAGACCAGTTCAATGGCAAATTTTTGCTGCAGTTTACACAGGCCTAGATCCATGGTTTTGCTAAGTATACAGCTGCGGTGTATGCAGCCACTTAATAATTCAAATTATAAATATATTTTTAATTAAGATGGAAAACAAAAGCTAGGCCTATTAAATTTCAAAATTGCAACTTACACTCAAGAACTCAAAACGTCTCTCATACTGCACAATTATTCGAAGAAAGTCTTGCTATAGACAAATTTTAAGTTTAAGGAACAGCGGAAAACTCAAAATAAGATTTTCAAGACAGAAAAAAATATGCACGATGAATGTGAATGAAAAAAAAAATCCATTTATTTGGATTAATAAAAGTACATTATCTTAAACTTAAATCTTGACCAGCAGCTGGAAATTGATCCACAAATATGAAATTGATATGTCTAGCATTTACTCTAACACTGTAACTGTAACACTAACGCTAACACAAGACCTCACAAGATCTCATCCCATACTCATACCTCTAGACTCTAGACCTAGACCAGGCCAATGGTACTTTTTTGCAGCAGTGTAGGCAGAGCTAGGTCCCAGGTTTTGCTAGGTACACCACTGCGTTTTACACAGCCACTTTGTTTTTCTAAGAAATATTTTTGTTCCATGCTCATACTGAGGATTTTTATCAATTTTGTAGGCTACCATCCAGCTACTTTTCATAATTAATATTTATAACTGTATTATATTACGAAGTGGATGTGTACACCGTGGAGGTGTACCTAGCGAAACCATAGGCTTTGGCCTGCGTAAACCGCGACGGTGTACCTAGCGAAATCATGGGCTTTGGCCTGGTTTTAAGATATATTTCTAAGAGAAGATCTTGTGTGGTCAAGTGGTAAAGTGGACGCTTGGCGATATTAAATTTTGAGATTAATTACCAGTAGGGGATAGCGTTTTTTTCCCTTCCCATTTTAATTTAAAATATTTTATATTTGAATTATCATGTTCATTTGCAACAGTAGTTTCATGAGAAGTTTTTAAACATTTTGTAGCAATTTAAATATATGTTATATTAAGATTATTAAGTGTTTCAACATGGTGTGCCGCCCTTTGACTTGGTAATATTAGTAATAAGACATAAGAAAACAAAATGAAAGTGTCTGAAAGCGCATGTATAGCCCTTGTAACATGTATAAGAGAAACATTTTGAATACTGTGATATTTCATTGTATTTCAACATTCTTCGTGTAGATGAATATTTAAATTTTACTTTAACGAATACTCAAAGAAAATACCAGAATATCAATTAAATCATATGAATATTAATTATTAATGTGCATGATCGTATTTCAACCATCTTGCTTTCAC